GGTGGAAGGTGGCTCTGCAGGAGCCAGTGGGGAGCTGTCTTAAAAGCCAGCTCCACATAGCAGTGTTCCCTCTAAGATTTTTTTCCATCCATGAGCGGAGTGAGTTTTGCCTGGTGCACCAATATTGAGGTCATGTGCACTTGTTGGACGTATGCTACTGTGGCCCTCAGGTTATAAACCTCTTAGTTTTTCCTTCTTTTCTGCCATGTCTCCCACCATCCCCTGACCCCCATCTGCTCCCCTGGAGCCTGCTGCTGCCACCCCACCCCTCACCTTCCTATGCTGTCCTGACTCCTTCCCTTCTCACTCCCCTCAGCCCTCCCCTCCCCTTTGTGCCCACTCCTCCTCTATCTCCCATTTCCTCTAACACCTCCCTCTACCCAACTGCCCTGCCTCTGTCACCTGTCCCTTCTCATCCATCCCCTTGTCTGCCCTTTTGCTTCACCCCCCCCGCCCCTGCACCTTCCCTTTACCCCCAGAACCCTCCTGGTGCCTCCCCTTCCCTCCTGCTCCTGCCCTCCCAACACCTCTCCTTCTTTCCCTCTTCCTCCCTGGTGCCCATCCCCTCACCACCCTCTGTCCCAGTTCTTATAAACACACCTCTGCACCCTCACACGTTACTTTTCTTCAACCCCTGCGTTCCTCATGCCCACCCCTCCATTCAGCCCCTTTTCTCCCGGCACCCACTCCTCTGCTCTTCTCTTTCTTCTTCTTATCCCTCCCTTCTCCTCTCCCAGCATCACCCTGTCCCCTTCCCTCTCCCACTAACACTTCCCATTCCCCCTCCAATCCCTGCTCCTCTTGCCCTTTCCCCTCATCTCCTCTTGGCCCCCTGGCCTTTGTTTCTCCTTCTTCCTGACTCTTGGTGCCTTCCCCCTTTCTTCTCCTGCCCTGGCCCCCCTCTCCTCTCAGCACAATCCCCTTCCTCTCCTCACCCGCACCTTCCCCTTAGTAACCAACTGAGTGATGGGAGGGGAAATGTTTGAAGAAAATGAGTTTCAAGCTTTTCCAGCTGCTTATCAATGAAATAAAATTAAAAACATGAAATATAACGTGTCTTGCAGTAACTGTAGTTGATACTGAAGTATTTGCAAATGTGGCTTCATTTTGGTTTTTTTAGATAATTATCTTAGATGATTTTACCACTAAATTACTGTCATCATGTGGCAAAATGACTGATTTACTGGCAGAAGGCATCACTGGTAAGTGTAAGGTATTTGTTAAAGGTACTTTTCTTAATCCAGAGGCAGATGAAAATGCTGTCTTAAATATATACTCTGTAAGAAGTAATACCTTTAGTAGTAGTCAGGATGAAGTTTCGTTTCGTTGTTTAATATTCCATGGTTATTAATTTCAAGCCTGAAAAACTGCATTTAATGCTGTTTTTTGAAAGTGTCTTATGACATTGGCATGTAGACAAGTATAATTGTAAAATCCAGAAACAGGTACGCCCAAGCTGCCTGGCTATTTGCTAAACTGACAGATAACAGGTATATACTGACTCAGGTTTAGGACAGGGTCCAGCACAATGAATAGCCATGTTTTGATTGAACCACCAGGTGCAAGGTGATGGGTTGTATATAGGTAATGTCAGAGGGTGACAACCTGGTAAGTCAGGAGTGATGTGTAACTTGTCTGTACCTGTATGTGTAAATCTGTTTGGAAGGACTGTCCTTGTCCGGCCTAGGGGGCAATGGAGAATCTGACATTGACTGACCGAACTTAAGCCCATTGCCATGAGCACACGTTCTTAGGGGCCCTGCACCACAGCCACTGCAGCCTGTGCCAAGCTAAAATTTTACTTGCCTGCTGCTCAGACAAAAGTCTCCGGAAAAGATGCTGAAGGAGCCCACTGGAAGCCAAGTCCCATGTTCAGGCAGCCCACGCAACCGCGGCAGTTCCTACTGCAGCGGAGACCTAGCGTCCACTAGTTCCCTGCACGGGCAGGTGTGGGGTGCCCAGCCTGCTGTGCTCCCTTCGAGGGGGTGAATTCTGCCTTCACTGCCCGTAGCACTACTCAGTTGCAATCTGCCCCAGCCTCAGGCCCCTGATCCTGCCCCAGTTTGCAAGAGCCCAGCTGCCCCTGGCCCTACCGTCATTGGCCAGGTACATCTGGGAGCTGGTGACAGCCCCTGGGGAGCAAGAAGAGGGTGAAATATACAATCCCAGCCATGGCTTGCTGGTGCCGGTGCCAGCACTGCTCCAGCCATCTCTATCCCTGTGGGAGAGGTAGGAGGGCTGAGCTCAAGCTGCGCATCACTCGTGTTCCACAGACTGCACTTTGAGAACCACTGACTTAGTTTAACTGGATGTCCCCTTACACTCCAAAAGATAATATTTAAGTCATAAAAGAAATCCTTCTATACAATGTAAAATTAACCTATGGAACTCAGTGTCAAAGCTTTCCAAAATAAAAAGTATTAAAATGGATGAGAATATTCTTGTTTTTTAGCTAAAATAAAAAAATGAAGCCTATAAATCCTCATTCTTCAAGTAATGGCTTTCTGACAGTGTTTAAGAAGAAAGTATTCTGACAGGCAGGCTATTCATAACAATCTGTTACATATTGTCTTGTGCTGTCCTCTGGAACATTTGGTGTTGCCCTCTGTCAGAAGCAGAATATCAGATGAGGTTTCATTTGGTAATATAATTCCTATGATATATTTGAGACTAGATTTTCCTATCATCTTGCAGATGAAACCTTGCAATTATAAACTATGTAGCCTATACAAATAATTAAAAGGAATACTTTTCCTTAGATCAGTCTTTAAAATTCAAAAATATTTTGCTATGAAACTTATTTGAAATGTTTAAAGCTAGCATTTCTATGATGGCAGATTGTAAATCATCTTGGTGAAAGTTTTGAAATTGATAGTGAATGTAAAACTTTTGAAAATTGCTTTGATAATCTTCTCTAGATATTTTTTTTAAATGAGACATTTAATAGGCTAACTTCACAATTATTGCTTACTCTAAGTAGCCCCACAGACTACTCATGTAAGAAATATTGTATGATTGTACAGTTAATGGTTTAAATTTAAACATTGATGTTAAATCTCTTGCTTTAAATCTGACTTACTCTGATGCAGTCTCTCCTTAGATCCAGTGTGTCCATATATCCAGTGTGTCATGTGTTACTTCAGAAAGAGCAGTAAGCACAAATCTCAACTACAGTAAAACTCCAATGGCCTGGCATCTGATGGTCCGGCACCATCAGGGACCCAGAAGTGCTCCGGGCAGCCGGACCATTGGAGCTGCTCTGCCCCCGGCTTCCCTGATTCAGCCGCTGCTAAAACTGACCAGCGGCTGAATCAGGGAAGCCGGGGGCAGAGCAGCTGCAGTGCTGCCCTTTGGGGCTGCGGGACTGGGTTCCAGATGGTGCCGGACCATCAGGAGTGCCGG